GGTTCATTTGCTCTTTTCCACAATATATACACAGATCAAAACATAACATGACACCCCACAAATACAAAAAGTGCTTGCCAATTGTAGGTACATAAATAGGTACACAGCTCATTTCCAAAAACAACTGGTTTTTATGAGCACACGTGTGCAGGAGCCCATGGAGGTCAGAAGAGGACACTGGATTCCACCAAAGCCTAAGTTACAGATGGTTGTAAACAAGCGCCCAATATGGGTTGTGAACCAAACTCTGGTCCTCTGCACCAGCAGCAAGCGCTCTGGAGAGTTGAGCCATCTCTCCAGCTTTTGCTGCCATAAATTCTTTAGTGTCAGAAAACCTACTTTTCTTTGAAAATAGGTGAGGAAGCTCTAAGACTATGCCCCACCTCTGTGGAGTGTGCTGGAAGGTAATGGAGATAATGGTCCTGATCCAACATTCTAGCCAATAAAGTAGTAGTCAGATTTCAAATACTACCAACTTCACACCCCAATAAACCCCAGGATTAGCTGGAGACAGTGACTCTGTAATTCAAGTGACTCTGCATTCAAGATGCAGAGGCAGAAGTTCAAGGACAACCCAGGCAACACACTGAGTTGCAGGGCAGCTCTGTCTCAAAAGAAAAGAACAGGGTGAAGCCTTTAGATGGGGTCCAGGGTGTTGCCTAGATGGTCTTCCCACAGGCAGAAGAGGAAGTGGAGAGGAAGACAACCAGAAATCCACAGGATAAGAACTCATGACCAGGAGCTAACATCACAGAGGTAGCATGATGTTTGTGCCTCCTCATGGAAGTACATACCACCACTAATGAGGCAGTTTCACCAATGCAAGGAAACCAAACATCAAACAGCTCTTCCAGAGCTGATTCCCAGTTCTGAGAGATACAAAACCATACACATGTGACCAACAAAATCTAAACTTTGGAAACCTCCATAGGACAAACATTTTAGTTTCATGATAAACTGTTTGTCAAGAGAAAAACAGGAAACAACCAGGGAAGAACCTATAGATTTAAATAAAGATTTATCAAGTAGAAAAAAGAAAAATCAAAGACACCTAGACCAAGGCATGTTTCAAGCACCAAGAAGACTAGGATTGGAAGGATCAGTTCTCCCAGGGCTGTCTCGTGTCTCGAATAACAGTTTTAAGTATATCTGCCCTAAATTAGCCTTTTTAAATTTAACCTTAATTTTAATAAAATACTTGGATATAGGTATTTTCATAACACTTACTTGGTTTTCCCATGTGTCAATCATATTGCCTGAAAGGAATAGCTAATCCATAATCTAACCACCTGGCAAATATCTTTAGTATGACAATTAAGAGTTCTACTGATTGGGCTCAGAGATTAACAATAGACACTGCTCTTACAGACAGCCCAAGTTCAAATTCACTGCACCTACTACATGGTAACTCAACCATCTGTAGGTCCATATCCCAGGAGTCCTGATGTCCTCCTCCTCTGGTTTCCATGGCACCAGGCACACATGGTACAGACACACATGCAAGCAAAACACCTATATACATGAAATAATAAATTTTGTTAAGTTATAAAAAAAAGCTCCACTGATTCCATAGTCAAGCACTGTATACTTTACTGTTATTAAAGAAAGCAAAACCATCATACCACACCAACTCTAAAGACTGAGAAAACTACCAGGTGGTGATGGCACACACCTTTAATCCCAGCACTCGGGAGACAGAGGCAGGTGGTCTCTGTGAGTTCAAGACCAGTCTGGTCTACAGAGCTAGTTCCAGGACAGCTAGGGATACACAGAGAAACCCTGTCTCAAAAAACCAAAAAGAAAAAACAAAAAAAGACAAGCCTGAGAAAACCAACTATCACAAATACGGGTTATATCCTGGAAAATGAATACATAAGACGGCTCATTACAAAATACAGGCAAAGGATAAACCAAAATTCACAGAAAAAAACTGCAAGTCACCAAAAGATCCTAAACAATAACCCTGTGACAATTAAAACAACTTGTTAGTTCTGCCATAGAGCTCGGCAAAGGCCTAGACGGCTGACGCCCTTTACACAGTGAGTGCAGAGGCCAACAGCCATACTACTGGAGGACACAGTGTATCAGCAACAGCCAGACTACTGGAGGACACAGTGTATCAGCAACAGTCTTAGAAACCAGCCAGACTTGATGTGCTACATTTTAATGTTTATTCTTCCATGCAGTCTATTTCTGTAAATTTCTCCTACAAAAATCAGAGAAATATAAAGCTGTAGTCACAAGATTACTTCTAATAACCAAATAAAAGCAATACAATGGAGTCATTAAAAAAGACAATATTTACTTATCAAAGCAAACTGCACATCAATGATACTTGGTGTCTACCCATTATTCCAAGTATAAATGGACAGCAAAGTGTAACATTAGACTGAGATTGTGTGCACAGTTGAAACCGTGTTACAGCACGCAATGTTAAGAAACAATACCACCACTTCCCCAGTGCTGCTCAAACATAATGTCTATGACAGTTTACTCAAGGTGGGCTTAGAACATCAGGACTCGGTGGGCTAGGATGAACTACGTTTGTCCTATTCAAGATCAAAACAGGACAGAGGGCTCTAACTGGCAATAGCTCTAACTTAATATACAATAGAGAAGCCACGAGTAGGAATTAAAAAAACTTCATGAAGGTCTCACATAAACTTATGACTCATACTTCCCAGGCTACTGGGGCAAGGTAGGCCAAGCCTGGCAGACATGAATCCCATGACCAACATGCTGGGGGGCACCACTCAGTAGCTGTGGTTGTTGTTGTTGGAGTGATGAAAAGCTAAGGCACTCACAAGTATATACCCACCTGGGGCTGGAGACAGCTCAGTACTGAGTACTGGTTGCTCTTCCAGAACTGGGGTTCAATCCCCAGTACCCACATGGTAACTCACACCTGTAATTCCAGGTCCAGAGGATCCGACACCCTCACAGAGATACACACACAGGTAAATCAATGTACATAAAATAAAAATAAATCATTTAAAAAATTACTTACCCACCTGTTCAAAAATAATGAAAAGGCTGGCTAAGTGGTGGTTGTAACATGAGGGCCGGCTTGTTGGGGTTTCTGTCCCACCCGGTACCCCACAGCCGGCAAACCCCAATGAAAATCACTCACAAGACTCCATAAGATTACAAACTGATTGGCCCTTAGCTCTGGCTACTTATTAGCTCTTATAACATATATTACCCCATTATCCTTATCTATGTTAGCCGCACAGCTCAGTACCTTTCTCAGCGTGGCAGCTCACATGTTGTTTCTTCAGTGATCTGAACAGGAATGGAGGAATGGCTTCCTCCTTCCTGGAATACTCCTGTTCTCATCACCCTGCCTCTACTTCCTGTCTGGTTGACCCACCGATATTTCCTGCCTGGCCAATCGGCGTTTTATTAAAATACGATTGACAGAATACAGACAATTCTCCCACACCAGGTGGTGGCTCACATCTTTAATCTCAGCACTTGTGAGGCAGATGGATCGCTGTGAGTTCCAGGACAGGCTCTATAGCTACAGAGAAACCCTGTCTCGAAAAACCAAAAAAAAAAAAAAAAAAAGGAGGAGGGGGGGGGGAGGGGAAGGGAGGGGAAGGGAGGGGAGGGGAGAGAAGGGGAGGGGAGGGAGGAGGAAGAAGAGGAGGAGGTGGTGGTGGTCACCCCTGTTTGCTCTTGACCTTGGGAATCAAAAGTCTAAGTAGCTACTAGGCTTAGTAGTCTAAGTAGGCTGGGATGGTCACTTTCTAAGCACTGGGGATGTCACAAGGACTTCACAGGCATACAGTCTGTTAGACCACTGTACTGGTTCCGGTTTTCTTCAGAAAGCTTAACAATTAAACACTGTGTGATAAAGCAAAAAGGAAACAGTAACTGCTCATTCTTAGACACAACAGACATTCACACAAACCTTATAAAGTTCCACTGCCATGGGCATCTTGGGCTAACAGCTTTTAATTTGTTACATGGGCTACAGGAATAACTATTCCCAGGGAAGAACCACCATTCTTGCTTTTAAGAGGCTTGTAAGTGTTGCACTCTTTAATCCTAGCATTTGGGAGGCAGAGGTAGGCAGATCTCTGAGTTCAATTGAGGCCAGTCTGGTCAACATTGGCAGTTTCAGAACAACCAGATACATAGATAAAAAAAAATAAAATCAAAAATAGAGAGAGACTTGTAAGCAACAGTCTTTGCTGGGGGAAGTTCCTCTTCTGGATCTAGAGCCACTCACAGGCTGAGTTAAGTGTAAACTACCCTAAGATACACAGAGGAGTGCAAGCCAGACCCCTAGTAACTGTGCTTGAGATTATCTATGTTACTGCAGAAGCAAGTACCTTAGAGACACCTATTTCTCCTGCTATTTTACTTCTAAAATCCTTCAAAAGAAAAACAATTTTTCCCAATAAAAATGTCAGTGGGGCTGGAGAGAGAGCTCAGCAATTAGGAGTTCACTGCTCTTGACGAGGACCTCTCTCACCCAGTTCCCCCTGATGTACTTACTCTCCTGGCTTCTGGCAGGTACCAAGCACTTTCGGAGTACACGTACATACATACAGGAAAAATACTCATACAAATAAAATAACAAAATTAACTTAATTTCAGTGTACTAGTGTCAGTCTTCAGTATCCATGTCTAAACAACAACAAACAAAACCACACCTTTACTGCCAATAGCAGTGTCACTGGGAGGGAACTAGGCGATTTTAATGTCTTCCCCCAAGCATCCATCATAAAGGGGATGGCAACCATTACCATAGCCAGCTGTCTGTTTCTCTAAAATTTTGCTGCCATTTATTTGTATTGTCAGTGACAGCTTTCATTCAGCAGAACTGAGTTTCTACAACAAACACCATATGTGGCTGCAAAGTTTAAAGTACTTCTTTCCCGGCTCTTTTAAGACAGTTTGCCAAGCTGTGCAGTTGAAATGTTACTATGCCATACTAAGCAAAACTTAACTTGAAGCAAAGGAGATGACACAAAAATCAAATGACATGCTCATTGTGATTCAGGCACTTTCAAGATCATAGTTTATTTATTACTTCAGATAAAAAGATAGTATACATATTAGGGAGTCCCTTAAAATTCAACTCTAAAGTTATACGCATCTAGTATTTTTGCATCAAATGTTAACCAAAAGTTTCTAGACACCTGAAAGCCCCACTATTAACATGAACTATGGTAATAAAAAATTTGACATTTAATTTGTTCAATGTATAGTATTTACATTATGAAACCAATGGTACATAAACAGTGATAAAGAATAAAATCAACATTAAAAAGCAGAGGTTTGTAGTCTTACGATGTGCTAATTATCATAATTGTATATAAAATTAAAATATAGCAGAGCTTTCTGTTACAAAAGTCTTAATCATCTGCATTGCAGTCATTACTTGCTATCAATTTACATGCAACATCTGCTAGGACTGATATCTGATCTTCTTTTCCTCAAGAATGGATGAGTAGATAAATGATATTTTGGAGCAGACATTAATTTACTTAAGGACATAAAAAAAACTGTACTCCAGATTAGTACTAGTCACAAGCCTCTTTCCTTCAGAAATCATAAAAACGGGAAGAGTTTAAAAGAGTCACAAAGGAGATGTATAGGCAGAATATCATGAGGGGCCCGGCTTAGAAAGAGTTGAACAGATCACATCTTTCTCTCCTTCAATGATGAGAGGTCTAGTTTGCCACCAAATAACAATGAATGAAGCTAGTGAAGGGCACCAGGTGCACAATTAAATTTTGCAAAATACTAAGACGAGGCAGAGGTGGCCAGAAGAAGGGGCGATTCATATATAATCCGAACTATATACAGCATAAATGGAATGCAGCCCATCTCAAACTGGCTTTGTGAAACAATTGGACCTTTATGATTTAATAGCTAAAATTAAAACACAGGTAACCATACAATAGATTTACATAGGAAGCAAAATCCAAGGGGCATATTATATTACCTATTTACTGTGCTGTTTCAATTTAAAAATAATTTTGCTAAGTATACATCTCAACTGAGGTCTATGTATAAAATGTCCTAATAGATACAGATATTTACCTTTGGTGAGTTGAAGGCCTTGTTGTGACTTGTCTGAATTGTAGGCAGAATGCCAGGTGGGAAAACACAAGCTGAGGTAATCCAAAAGCTGTGCATGAGGTGACTGGAGGTACTCTGAAAGCCAGAGTACAGCAAATCCGACCAGGTAACAGTGAGAATGGCAAGAGGGAATGGAGTGCCAATATGGCAATAAGGTTGGTTAAAAACAGAAAGAGGAAGGCCTCTCGTACCAGCAGAATCCCACGTACATACAAAAAAGAAATTGCCACCCACCATTTTGTAGAACAAAAGCCAATTATTAGTATGGGAAAGTACAAACTACAGAAAACCAGAAGTCAATAGAAGAAAAACTACTGGTTCACATGAGAAAAAGGAAACATTTCCATTCTGACAGCTACTTGGTAAACGCAGCTACCACGGCCCATAGAACTTCACTGGTATTGGCCTTCAGACACTCCACTTCTGGGTCTAAGTCGAGAAGCTGCCGTACTCTCTTGGTGGCTAAATCATACTGCTCGTCCAGAAGGGGAGCAAAGGCATTCTCCAAAACATCCGAGGCATGGGCTAGGTAAATGAGGGCCAGCAAGCGCTTGTCCATTCGGTGAGGGTCATTTACCCATTTGTCAAGAACAGCTTCTTGTACCTTCTTGATGAGGCGCTGCTTAATGTTGTTATTGGTGAGAGGATGCGTCGTCATGTCAAACAGGAGGAAGTTCTGTTTCTCTGTCGTCAGTACACCTTTTTCTACCAGGTTTTTAGCTAAACGTTCACGTACATTTCTTAACTGATAGTGCAATTTTAATGGATTCCATGTCTCACCTAAATAAGAATATTCCAGAAGTTAGAAATGATGGGTAGTATTTGCTGAACTACAACAACAAAAATGAACTATTAGACAAGCAAAAGAAATTTGATTCTTGCCCCCTCCCCACTAGATCATGAAGTCCAAGTTTGGATGACTGGGTTCTAGGCATCCAACACTTTCTCAGGCACAGTAGTCTTCAAATCACAACCACCCTTAATCTGAAAGAGTAAAGAACCACATGTTCAATTTTGTTCCTGCCTGCTCTGGCTATTATCAAAAGGCAGTCAATAAGGCGGAATGTAATGTGGTAGGGCACACACTCACCAGGTGGAGGCAGAAGAATCTCAAGCATGGAAGCATCTGGGCTACACTTAAGAGAATTCTACACTATAAAAGCATCATAAGGTCCTACATTCAATCCTGAATACTACAAAAAAAACAAGAGGAAAAAGAAAAAGAAAAAAAAAAACACCAAAACCAAGTCTCTACAGTATAAAAGCAGCGATCTGTCCCTACAAACCTACCAATCTTCAACAGATGAAAGAGAAATGGCGCTCTCTGATTATAAATTATTCCTAAACTGCCATTAGGACAGTCTATAGAGACAGCAAAGCTCGTGTGGACAAGGATGAAAAATTATATAAAGCTGACCCCTGAAGAGAAAAAACATCTTCAAAGCTTTTTGTTTTGTTTTGGAGACAAGGTTTCTCTGTGTAGTCTTGCTATCCAGGAATTCACTCCATATACCAGGTTGGCTACAAACTCAGAGATCTGCCTGCATCTTCCACCTGAGTGTTGGGATTAAAGGCATGTACCACCACCACCTGGTATCATTTTCAGATCTTAAGTCTGTCATCTATAAGCACTTCCTCTGAGACAAATACTTAAACTAAGCCATTTCCAATTAAAATCATTTACTTTCTGCCTAGCGTGGTGGTACATGCGTTTAATCTACAGCCTGGTCTACAAAGCGGGTTCCAGGAGAGCCAGGGCTACACAGAGAAACCCTATCTCAAAAGAAAAAAGAGAGAACCATTTATTACAGATAAAAAATATCAGTAACTCTGGTTATCTTTCAGATTATATGTAACAAGTTTAACTGTATTTTCTAAATGATCACCAATATTTTTCCAGTTTGAGAAAAAAATAAATTTTTTTAAACAGCACATTGAAAATCAACCCCAAGCACCTTTCTCCACTGTGAAAACTCTAAAGCTGAAGTTCTAGAACACTAAGAGAATCAGCCTTAAGCTACATTACTGAAGCCAGTAACATGGAGCTACTAAACTTAAAATGTACTTAAATTTTCAGTCCTCAGCTTTGCAAGTCATAGTTTAAGTACCAAAAGCCTTGCGTGGCTGCCATTATTCACTGGATAGCACAGAGCACTGTGGCACCTGGAATGCATCTCACCTAACAGTGAAGACCCTGACAGGAGCTCAGCGCTGACCACTCACGATGATGCTCACACAGAGTATCTGAGTTGATCCCCAGCACCCATATCAGGCGCCTCACAGACAGCTCTAACTCCAATTTCCAGGGGGAAATAATGCTTTAATGACCTTTGCAAGCACTCAGTACAAACGCATACAATCAGGGACACCTATATAAAATAAAAGACTATCCTGGACAGCAGGCAATCCTCGCTGTTATTAGAAATATAGAGAAAATTAATTAAAAGTGACTTTTCAAATACCAGTCATAAAACATTCCAAAAAACTATGACTCAGATAAAACCTAATGAGCCACAAAACTGGCCCACGTACACTACCTAGAGGCATATCCAAGGCAACAGAGCAGGAATGAGGATTCCATAGCACAGAACAGCAGACACACTGCCCAAGTCTGTGGGCAGAGACCAAGATAGCGAGAGCAGCTGAAAAATACAAGGCGGAGTACAGAGATCTAGAATCCTACATAATATTCAAGTCTCAGAAAGCTAAGCCATACAAGTTGAAGCAAGAATCTGCAAAGCTAAGCAAACAGACATACTAAAAAGCTAAAGAATGCCAAGAGTTTTCAGAGAGGTGAGAAAAACCTGGCCACCAAACTAACCTGAGGAAAAAGGCCTTACTGAGTGTCCAGGACATAAGGGAACTCAGAAAGACCACTCTTCAGGAACAAGGTTGAGCTAGTATCAAGTGAAAACTAGTATAAACCTGTACTATCCAAGTTTTAAAGTGTAATCCACAAGTAACTACCAAAGCAAAAGCCAACACCCCCCCAGTCCTCGCTTGGACGGGTGGGGGGGGGGTGCGCGCACGCGCAAGGGAGAGGGGAAGGGACACAATACTGAGATTGAATTTAGGACCTCCCACATGCTAGGCAGGCACCCTAAAAAAAAAAAAATCAAACAATCTTTAAACAAAGATGACAAAGTTCAGCACTTAACAATCTAATATTCACAATGTTGAGTATTCAATTTTAAAAGAGTAACAATAACACATTAGATTTGCAAAGAACAAAATATGTTCCTCGAGGCCAAAGCACAGGATGCAAGAAATGTTTACGTTAACCAGCTTAGCTTCCCCTGCTCGATTCTGGCAGAAGCCTTGATTCTGTCACTGCTATGATAATTTCACCTGCTAAGAAGGTCCTCACAGGCGCCCTAAATCTCCTCTCATCTGTCTGTCAGGGTTCCCAGCTCAATACCCCCTACATGGAAGCTCTGGCCATTGGCGCCAGGCGGCCAACACCCCTCTTCTCACTCCCAGGTGGGAGGGGGCTCTCGTCCTTTTGCCTCCAAGTATTTAAGTATTTAAGCCCGACATGTGCTAAATAAAGTGATATTTACCCTTTGGGCGAAAGATCCTGGTCTCTCTGTGTGTGTCTGTTCAACTCCTAGGATATTGATCCAGTCTCGTGGTTCGATGCGGGAAGCGCGCCCCGTATCGGAAAGTGGGGTTTCCGCAGATTCAGGCGGAGCAGGACAGTCTTTTATTACATTATTTAGTATGCATGTGTACCACATGTGGAAGTCAGAGGACAGCCTGCAGGAGTCATCATGTGAAATCAAACTCAGGTCCAGGTCATCAGGCCTGGCGGCAATACCTTTAACCTCTGACTCATCTCACTGGTCCATAGAAGAGTCATTAAAATTTTGCAATTTACTTTGGAAAAAGACTTAAAAGTATATGATAACAGGCTGGTACTATGACTTATTAATAATTAAGGCCATCTTGTGCATAAAAAATCATTTCAAATAAAGTCACAACAAATCAGTGTCTACAAGCGAATTTGGGTTCAAGTGTATGCACACGCGTGCACACACGCACACACAAAAGTCAACTACTTGGTAAGGTAGTATTTACAATGTTCTCAGGAATCATAATACCAAGAATATAAACATTAAGACTTATTTCTAAACTTCTAGGTATCACAATTAAGTGGTGAGAGAAACCATCATAATTTACTGGCTAGAAAAAAAATGGGAATGAGGCCCTATATAAAAATATTAGTTACAGGGGAGGGGCACTCAAACTACATCTAGACTTCTAGAAAGAATAAATATCTAAGAACAAAAGATACAGCAAGAGTGCACAGCAGTGATGACCTTCTTGCAATGTCCTATGACTTCCAATTTTTAATTCAATCCACTGTCTCCTAAAGTGTCTACTGATCACCTGACAGCTTGGGTTTTAGATTTTACTCTGTTTCCTAATGCCAGTGTCAGGAAAGCAGACAACTGTAAACTAAAGTCAGACAAGATGTATTAGCTGACTTTGGAGAATTCAAACTAATACAACATAAAATAAGCACATTTATGAAAATGCTTTCTACAATTAACTATGCATATATCTGTGCACCTGTCAGACAGAACAGGTCTCACAATCCAGATGACATCTTGGCCATCTATTCCCACACTGACTCGGGGAAGCTTGGCAGCCAAATGCCTGGTTAACTGCTGAGCCTTCTCACTGGCCCACTCTAATCCTTCTGAAAATGTACACTTTCTTTTGTGTATACATTTTTTACCTTTCAAAGGTGTAGTCCAAAGTCTACTACTTCCTTTCAACTTCTAAGCCTCCTCGGACATTTTTTCTGAACCACCGAACTTTTAGGGAGCCATAAGTATTAAATTATTAGCCACACGTGGGTGGTCGTCAATCTCCAAGTATCTCTGCTTAAGTTCATAGCACCTATGTCAGTGCCGTACAACACTGGCATTCATACACTACACACTTTTCTGTTGTTGGCACTTCTACAGTGCAAGTGCAAGGTAGGCATCAAATCCTGAGTTTTGCACATTCTAGATCCTTAAGGACTATACCTCTCACGAGAACAACTTTAAAACAACTAAAATTAAAAACAACAACAACAAAAACCACATTCTCAGACTGGCCACAGACCTACACACTTAAATTCATAGAGTGGGAAACCAGAGTGATGACTCAGTGAGCAAAGCCACTTGCAGCCAAGCATGATAATCTCAATCCACCCGAGGCTCACAGGTGAAGGAGAGAACTGACTTCTACCCTGTGCCAGGACACACTAACCCCCCCACCACATACACACTAAAATAAACATAATAAAAAGCTTGATAGCCAGTCAACAGAAATCTGGTCCATTTGCTCAACAGAAAGCAGGTGAACGGAACCAAGCACCCTATCACCAAGCTCTGACCAGAACCATTGTTCTAATACTCTAGCAATGCACTTTGTCTTCTCCTCCCAAGCTGGATCCACTTCTTTCATGTCAACATGGCAGCTCATTCCTAATATACACCTAAAACAATATATGCCTAATAATAAGATGTGCTGAACACAACATTCTGGCACTTATAGCCAATCAAAAACATGGGATATTGCCTAAATATCTGCCTTGTGAATTCTTACCTATTCCAATGGACATCCTATTGTATTTCAATATTTTGGGAGAAATCTCTTTAATGTTTACCCTGGTGAGAAGCATACGAAAGGCTCAAGTTGAAAGTCAAGTTCAGTCAGCACTCACACTAGTAAGGTTTAGTCAGTCAGCAGTCATACAATGTTAACTAATTAAGTATAACCACTTTAGCCTATCAACCCAATCCCTTAGGAAAATTCTGGTTTGGTTATACCACTGTAAAAAAAAAAAAAAAATCCAGTGATTAAGACACTGAGCATCAGACTGGAGCAAGCCCAATGAGTGCATGGTATATGTTAAGATCAAGAGATAGCTTATAGTTTATGAAGATATTCTCACAGCTTGGCCCACTCTAAACAGTAAACTGTCCCAATAACTCTGATAAAGAATGATTGGAGACAGGCATAGTGGTGCAAGCCTTTAATTCCAGCACTTAGGAGGCAAAGGCAGGTAGATCTGAGTTGTAGTTCAGTCAGGGCTACAAATTGAGGAGACCTTGACTCGAAACAAAACAGAGCTTAAAAGAAGACTATTATTTGCTTTCCCATGTAAAAGGAAAATTTTTTCTTAAATTATCATCCCCACCACCATCTTCCTTAATTAAGAAAACATCTCTAAGCAGGACTCAATGTTTACTTTTTAATACATCAGCTTACCACTAAGTAACTCAATCCAGTTCTGGACCGTCTCTGGAGGTTGAGTCTCCTTAACATGCTTTAGAGCTTCGTCAAGAAGAACATCCCCTGTTGGAGCATCCGATTTACAGATCACCTAAAACACAAGCGGTCAGAAATGATCCACTGGTATCTTCTTTCCTCATAAACTCATTAGATAAAAAACAAACAAGTAAGCAAATATTTCATGCTCAGAGACTTTACACTTACCGCAATTCCATTTAATGCTGAACTTTGAGCTAGTTAATGCACAAATTCATTCATTAAAATATTCTTAGACCCAGAAACATAGTCAACTATATGGAAGAATTCATATAATAAAGGCATTTTACATAAGAAAACTAATTTTCTCAAAAAATATCATTAAGGAAACTTTGACAAATTGAAGGAAAAAAACAAAATTAAGGTACAGCTCCCTTGAGCTTACGCTTAATAAAAGATATGAAGGGGAAATATAGTTTTAGGAATAAGAAAAAAATTTTAAGACTGCCATTGCAAGCAGAAGCCTTAATGACTATGGAAAGTTACTCTATCTCCAGCCCCAAGAGGGTGAGGAACAGAGATGGTAGGGGCCCAAGGACAGATTCTAAATCTGTAATTAAAACCTGTATTGGGTTAAGATATTAGCAGTGAAAAGTGGCTCAAGAGTTAAGAACATCAGGTGTTCTTACAGGACTCAGCTTTATTCCCAGCAACCAGCTCACAATCACCTGTAACTCCAGCTCCAGGGACTGACACCTTCTCCTGGCCTCTGCAATTACAGCATGCCTGTAGGGCATAGAAATGCATGCAAACAAAACACCCAGACATGTAAAATAAAAGAAACCTCAAAAACAAGAAAAGTGGAAAATCCTGGGAGGTGGGTAGGAAAGGAGCCCTCAATGCCATGTTAGTTGGCAACTTAGGTGCCCACAGGCTTCACTCAGTCACAGCCTAAGCAATGCATTTCTAGTTAAATCTATCACAGTACCTTACAGTGGCTATTAAAAACTGTGTTCTCATATTTTTCTTCAAAAAGGTGCCTCTGTGGGTTTTCTTTTGCTCAATCTCACAGAAGATTAATATATAAGAGCTTATTCTTTAGGATTACACAAGAAAAATATAAAACCATAATGCCAACCACAAATTTAGCCTCGAGGAATTGAAAAAAAGTGAAATGAATTAAAAAATATTGGCTTTAACCCAATATAGTTAAAACCTGGCCTATAAGTGATAGTTGTTTGAAAGCTGAGATATTTACTGTTTTCACCAATACTGTTTTTAAAACTTCAGTGTGTTTTTATAACACAACTCAATTTTCAATGGTGGCATGATTACTATGCTGGACAGTGCAGATAAAGAAATATTTAGAATGTTCACTCCATAGTGCTTAGTTAGACCAGGGTTTACGAGGGAGAAAAAGAACTTTAGGAGAAAAGAACCCTATGTCTGTGGCACTGAAGCCATGTGACCTGCTTCTGTCTTCCACTCCTGCTCTCTCCATGTGGCCAGGAGCCATCATCATCCACTTTCCTCAAGTTCCCACTTTGAGGCAAGTGGTCTATCAGCATCCGAACAACCTGGCTACGGGGAGGTAATTAATTCCTTCTGAGTCCTGCTACAGACCTTCCTCCTGTGTCACTCCCTCCATAGTCTTTGTCTGGATTTTAGCCCCTATTGTGACCATCTTTCACTTGAAATAATTTGTCTCCTGACTAGAGGACTTCAATATGTTTAATGTTGTAGGGATACTTTTATTTATCTGATAATTTCATAACATATGGAACATTGAGTATATCCAACCCAAATTCTCCACGTTCCCTTCCCCCGATACTTCTCCTCTCACCCCATCCCCCACACACACTTAAATAATCCACTGCATCTAGTGTTGCCTGTATGCACACGGCTGTGAGGCTATCCAACATAGCACTGGCAACCTACCAGTGGTCACACACACACCAACCTCCCCCTGCAGCCATCAGTTGCTCAACTAGGGGGTGGAGCCTCATGAGCAGACTCCACTCCTCACTAAGATGCTGACTGGCTTCATCTTATGCAGGCAATCAGAGCGGTTGTGAGGCTATGCATGCATGAGAACAACACTGAGCTCAGGAGACAAATCTTACTACATTTCATTGTTCCTGCTCAAAACAAATCAAAGATTCAAACAAGTTCTAAATTCCTTTAAATTTTCAAGACTAGCTGGGCAGTGGTGTTACACACCTTTAAATCCCAGCACTTGGGAGGCAGAGGCAGGTAGCTGAGTTTCTCAGGCCAGAGTGAACTACAAAGTGAGTTCCAGGACATCCAAAGCTACAGACAGAAACCCTATCTTGAAAAACGACGATGACAACAACAAAATATTTCAAGAATATGTATGGCTTCAAAATAAATATCCTCTACTTGAGTAAATTCTTACTACCTACAACATAGAAGATATGAAAAGAAGAGAAAACAAGACCTCTGAGAAAATGCACTATATAGACAGAGGTTCAAAAGGCCTCAGGAATTTAGCAGAAAACAGATTCATAAAACAAGAAACCCTGTGGGAGCTGCAACCTCAGAACAAAGAGGTCAAGGTCAGTTATGCAGCAGTGACATGACACAGGTGGCAGGCAATGAGGACATGTAGGCAGATGCAGTCAGAAACTAAGGAACAAGATTAAAACAACCAAGGGGGGGGGGGCTGGCTATAAGCAGATTCTCCCTTAGAGTCGTCGAGAAAACACAACTACATCTCCTAACTCTGGCCTCCAAAACTGAGAGAATTCTTTCTTTCTTAAAGCCACTATGGCTGTGGTTGCTTGTTAATGTGGTTTTAAAATGAATTAAAGACAGAGTGGCAGCACATGACTTTAATTCTAGCACTCAGGAGGATCTCCTAAATTTGAGGCCAGTCTGTCTACATTCTGTAGGACAGTTGAACTACAAAGAGACAATGTCTCCCAAAAAAAAAAAAAAAAAAAAAAGAGCTGCCAGGATCAATGAATGAGGACAACTAGCTACCTTTGGTCTTCTACCTGTATCTATCTTAATTAAATCAGCAATTACTTTTAAACTTTAACTTAACTAAATCATATAGGATATTTTCCAACAGCCTTTTCGTCACATCACTAAGCAGCAGATTGACTTAAGTTTCACCACTGTTTCCCAGTCTAGCACAATGCATGATGTACAGTCAAAACTGACTCCTGCTAGCACATCATTTTATTTAGGCCAAGACTCTAATGAAAATTTCCTAAGTTACTAACCTGTGCATGCATTCTATTGATATACTACAATGACAGCTTTCTCAGGTTGGTTTTCTTCATAAGTTACTAACTACAGTTGCAGAAATAAAGCCTGCTTTATGACATAGTTATCCAAAACAGTAATATGTTAAATTCTCTCAATGCCAGTTCCCTTGTCTTAACAGCAAATGGCTGGATTTACCATAGAGATGCCATGAGAGCATTTCTACGGTGTCAGCCTGTAATCTCAGCCATTCAAGGACTGTCAGAAAATCTAAATTCAAAGCCTGCATAAGCTACACAACAAGACTGATTCAAACAAACATGCCCACATTACTCCACCCACCCAGTACTGAGCTCAAACACAGGCCGGCACACCCACTAAGGGAGCACTCATCCTGAGGCCCATGCACTCCAACCCAACAATATTACTTCCTGTACATTACTTCCTGCACATTAACGGCATTCCTTCTTATAAAATTACCATTCTCTGGGTTATCAGTTGGCAAGTTCAAAGTAAGGGACGCAGCACAGGCTTGTAATCTTAGTGCTCTGGAGACAGAGGCAAGTCTCCCAGTCAAGGTCAGCATGAGCCACTAGTGAGTTCCAGACAGCCTTGGTTAAAAAAGTGAAGACTCTTGTCTTGAAATGGCAACAAAATGTTTGGTTCTGGCATAACTTTTGGATTTATAAATATAATACATTACTAAATTAAACAAATGGTTCTGAAATACCATGTCCAGAGTATAGGAGCAGACTGGAAGAGAAACAGTCTGGAATATCTGAAACTGAGGCCAAAGTTAAAAATCTAAAAACTAACGTAATATATTTCTGCTCCTCCACAGAAGTAACTACCTACACCTTCACCATAGAGAAAAGACATAAAAAGCAATCATAGTCTTCCAAAAAGATGGGTGCCCTAGGAGTAATTAATTTCCACAAAGCTCCTGGATTTTCCGAAGTTGGCTCAAAGTCTTCAGAAGCAAATAAAACTGAGTATTTCCTAAAATGCAGTGATCATGGATCCTAACAGTAACTGACATTTGTTGTGTATGCAAGGAACCAGAAAAACTAAGAATGCAATCTAATAGACAATTTTAAACTATTTACACATTTTAAAGCCATTAGAAATATTCATCATTTGTACAGAGCAAATTCTTGCAAAGGGGGTATTATTTAGAAGTCCTCTTACCTTTCTGGTTAAAAGACTTTTTCTTCTCATTCCACAAGCCTCTAGTTGTAACCTTCCTCTCAAGGCTAATTCGATTAACATACAGCCACGTAATCCAGATGATATACAGTCATTCCAAAATGATGTGTAACCCTATTTAAAAAAAAAAAAGAAAAAGAAAACAAAACAGCCAATTTACCTTGACTCAAAAGTAGAAATAGCTTTAGCCAAAGCCATTTTTAGTACCTTTCACCACACATGTGTACCAGGCTTTTTCTTTTAGACCACGAACCAGCTCCCAAATCATGAAACACAGACTTAGTTTTGAGTGCTCGGCTTTGGCTTTGCTCTTTCCTTGGTAGCTCTTATAAACTAACCTGTTTCTCTTCATCTACGTTTTGCCTTGGGATTATACCTTTTTCCCTGTATGTGCTATACTCCTGGCTAGTCACTGCCTGGTTTCTGGCCAAGGGCGTGTCTCTCTCTTTCCTCCTTCATTCTCTTCCCCTTTCTAGCCTAGATTTCTCTTATTCTTTCTGCCCAAAGACCAATCAAGTGCCTTAGGTGAAACAATGCAAATGTAAGACATCTGTATATCATTAAACAAATGCGGCATAAACAAGCACAGCACACCTTCACACAGTTAAAGGAATATTCCACAGCATAATGTAAGACATCTTAGTCTAATTAAAATATTCTACAACACACATCTTTTTATAACAAGACACTAAAAATGCACTTAGTGTGTTTTAAATCTAGGATGTGGGGGAGGGTTGTCTTTTTATCATATATTCTTACATATGAATAAACAACAAATAACTTTTAGAGTCAAACTGGGCAAGGTAGTACATGCCTACAGTTCTAGCACTGGAGATATGGGGTATTCAATGGCTTAAGAGTTCAAGGTCATGCTAAGATGGCTCAGAGACTAAGAGTGTTTACTGCCCTTACATATAACTGACGTTCAATTCCCAGCACCTACATGGGACTCAAAACTGTAACTCCATTTAACAGGGACCCAATGCTCTCTTCTGGACTCCTTGGGCACCAAGCATACACCTAGTGCAGACATAACATGAAATCAAAACATAAATACACACAAAATTAAACTTTTAAATTAGTAAAAATGAAAATCCAGCCCCAGCATGGTGGCTCATACCTCCAGCATTCAAGCCAGTCTCGGCTACATAGGGAAGGTTCCCTGATACTTTGCCAGGTCAAAGCGATCAGCTCAATTTTTAGAGAATGGCTGACCACCAGAGTTCATGGAACTTCACTAATGATGTGGGGACTTAAAGTGCAAGCCCCAACTACCACTTTTTGTTGTTGTTGTTGGTTTTGATTTTTTTTTTTTGAGACAGTGTTTGTGTGTCCTGGCAGTCCTGGAACTCACAAAGATCCACCTGCCTCTGTCTGTGTTGGAATTAAAGGCATGCACCACCACCTGGCTCAAACTACCACTTTTAATGAGTTTTTAGAAGGAAAGCATTTAGATAAAGGGAACTAAAAGGCAAAAGCAGAAAGAGTTTTGTCAGGCATGATGGTATATGCCTTTTAATCCCAGCACTCAGGAGGCAGAGGCAAGAGGCACGGTGGATCTCTGATCTGTGCAGAACAGCAGCTATCTATAAAGTGAGATCCAGGACAGCCAGAGCTATAATTCAATCAGTAATTGATAGAAATCAAGTGAGATCTGGAGCAATTAAAGCCCTGAGACGCCTGGGAATTGATTCCACATGAAATTACATTACAGCTGTGTGATTTTCACAGGCCTGAACACACAAATGGGGTTCCTAGGTGAAACACCACAGTACAGGCAGAGTGCACTTCATGAAGTCGGGTGGGTGTGGCAAGCACACCAGTCTGAAAAGGGTGACAGAGTTAGCAGTTTACCTTTGATGGCGGATAGCAGAGGGCTAGAGCTAGATATAACTGTTCCAACTGTTATGAGTCACCCAGAGATGTCAGCAAAACAAGGTCTTTACTACAGATTTCAGGGTAACATTTAATGAAAACCTGGGTAACTCACACAGGAAAGTAGATGAAAGGGGAAAAAAAAATCTGTGCCTAAGTTTCTGGGGTTTACCAGAAATAAACCAGATACATGAAGCCAAGAAAAACAGAGCAAGCAACAGAGTAGCCCAGTATTTTGATAACCTCCTAGTAAACCCGTATCACAAAAGCATGATCTTGGAATTACCAGAGGAAGTTTTTGGTTTTGTTTTTTGAAGGCTGAGTAAAACAGACCCAAAAGAACAGTGGGGGTAATATAACTGACCAGATAACAATGCCACATGGGATTAAGTCTCTTAGGGGAAAAGTAAATCAGGAGAGTACCAAGTGACTGTAACCAACCTCAGCCAGCCCAGTTCTCCAATGAATCCACAGCATGGTCTAGACCACAAGCTAGCAGGGGAAGTATTCAGAGTGAGAAGCTAGAGAAAAACTTGTCCTTGTTTCTCTAAAAGAATTACAAGAGCCTATTGGAGAACTACATACTCAAAGCATGTTTTGTGTGTGTTCCTCTTTCTAGTACAGCAAGTTAGCCACTTTTAATAAAGTAGCTGAAATCTATAGAAAGACTAGTGACTGGCAGTATCATTTTTAGTTCAATAACTAGCTGTGTTTACATATACAGTTGTGAGAGAATAAAGAATCAATGATGTATGCAAGTGGTACCCAACTCCTAGAAGCCAAACAATTCAACCTTACAGAGGTTTGAAATTCTCCAGAGAGTAATAAAGAAGGCATCTTTGAGGCTCAGTCCAACAAAAGGGAAATAGAGCTCAGAGGTCAGTCACACTCAGGAGAGTACTGGCTCATCAGCTGTGATGAAGCACCAGCAACTGCCAGAGACCAATGGCTGTAAGATAGTGCCCCTCATATCTCACAAGACAACTCAGAATTCAATTTGGTCATAGGACCACTGAACAATCTGAGGCATTACAATTTCAGGAGTGTGATTTTATAAAACTGTTTCCCCCTAGTCCCTATGTCCTAAAACTTTAAGATTGGGAAGGGTAGGCATTCCAAGATAAAGCGGGTAATGTACTTCAAAAATCCAGACACGGCAAGGATCCAAAATAGGACAACAAAGCATACAAGAGAGCATGCCAAAGAGACCCTAGTATTCTGTACTGGTCAGGTGAGATGCTAGCAAACCTAAAACAGAACAGTTGAGGAGATGGAACAGTGGTTAAGAGCACACGCTGCTCTTTCCAGAGGATCTGAACTGACTGTAACTCCAGTTCCAAGAGTAAACAATACCTGTAGCCTACCAAAGGTACCTGCACTCAACGTATACAGCACAAAAAGACAAATATTTAAAAACAAGGACCAGGCGTGGGGTGCACTTCTTTAATCACAGAACTATGACAGCAAAGTAAGTGATCTCTGTGACTGAGGCCAGCCTCGTCTATACAGCAAGTTCCAAACCAGTCAAAGTTACAAAGTGAGACCGTCTCAAAAAGCAGCCTTGGCTTCTTTGGCCTAGGAACAGTACTTCTTGGTCCCTCACCCCCTAAAATACAATGCCTGCTCCAACTTCACCTATACAGCCTCCTTGGTGTCTGCAGTGCTACTGAAGTGACCAGAGACACAAATGAAAGTCTCAGCATTCTGACAGTCCCATATCCTCAGACATTAACTCATCCCTTAGCCACAACTTCCAAGTAGGGAGCACCATTTCAAGGGGCATCAACATAGTAGTCAAGTTCATTGAGACTGGTGCTGCCACAGTTAGGGTGGCTGGCTCTGGGGCTGGCTTTGGGACTGTTTGGGGAAACCTCAAAAACATCTCTTCTACTCATGTCTGGACTATGCCTTCTCAGAGGCCATGGACATTTTGTCTATATAAGCATGTATACATGTATATTTTCACACACAATGACTCACTTTTTAAGTAGGTAAGAAAAGAATTAGCAGTTAATAACAGTAATGGTTAGTTCCACTTTTCTGTATAATCATATAAAATGGAACAAGAAAAGACTAGCTATTCAAACTTGCAAAAAAATAAGATGTTATCCGTAGCACAATAAAGGCCAAGTACTAGAAATATTAAACATTTGCAACTGACACACCAACTTTCAGTTTCTCAAAGCCAACACAGAACTCTGAATATAAGGCTATCATCCCAATGCCTGGCTCTTCCAATCCTTTGGCCCTTACCAAACAGCATACAGACTACTTGTATTTTGTTTAAAAGGCATATTTCTACCATACTCATGCCTTAAAGTCAATTGAACCATCTTATTTCCTCTCTCCCATAAGCTATGGTAAAATGAAATCTTAGTAATTCTGCCTATCTTTTGAGGCATTGTATACATATGTTGTAGACATAAAAAAGCAAGTCAAAATACCCATATATATGTGTGTGCATATTAAATACGCATCCTTTAATCTTCTCCCAAAACTGGCATCAAATTTCACAAGTTCTAATAATTTCTGGCCAGTGAGATAGGTGTTTGCAAACCACATACCCCCAGACCCACGAGGTGAAGAGAACCCACTTTCACAGGTTATAATATGACCTCTAAATGAATACCACAATGCACACATCCATGCACACAGAGAAGTAACTGGAAACACTTTTAGTCACTCCAAGAGCCCGATGACTTTGGGTGTCTCCAGTTTTTCTACTCCTTTCTACACTTACATCTTTCAAAAATCCTGTCTCTATTATTATCATTGTCTTTAAAGCCCACAACAGCTTCTATTACCAATCCCAGCTTTTTGCCAACCTATGCCAATATTTTTATGTTCCTTATTCCATACATAATCTCCATCATAACTAACTTTGACACATTTTTTAAGATTTATTTATTTATTATGTATACAACAGAGGAGGGTGCCAGATCTCATTACAGATGGCTGTGAGCCACCACGTGGTTGCTGGGAATTGAACTCAGAACCTCTGGAAGAGCAGTCAGTGCTCTTAACCTCTGAGCCATCTCTCCAGCCCCCACTTTGACACATTTTTATTTGCTTTTATAGCTGCATTAGATCGCTTATTTTCAGAAGAATAAACTTTCTCATATAGGGTTCTGTGTCCTGTCTTTTCCTGTTATATCATAGCCCATTTTTCACTGTGCTCAACTATCTCCAAGTACAGGAGCATAGAGCACCTGCAGCCTAAACACCTGAGAGTCTGAAGCAGAGGATAATTTGAACCAAGGAG